TTCTTTCTTTCTTTCTTTCTTTCTTTCTTTCTTTCTTTCTTTCTTTTTCTTTCTTTCTTCCTTTCCTTTCCCTCTTTCTTTCTCTGTCCGTTCCTCAGCATTTTTCTCTTTTCAAATCACCTTTTATTCATTTCTTTCCTCAACCGCCGATAACTCCTCCTTAACAAACAGATGCACGGAAACTCCCACAACCCTCCCAGAAGAAAGGGTGAAATAAAACTTCTACAAGCTTAAGATCTTCCTTTTAAAATGCTGAACATAATGGAAACCCACAAAGGAAAAGCTTGCTAATGTTTCCAAAGGAGAATGCAGAGAGCGTTTGTGAACCCTGCAGAATCTAATTCAAAATAGTCCATTCAATTGATGGAACTTTCTAGGGTAGGAAAATTGACTCGATTTTATTCAAACCAGACCATCAAATTGAATCCATTTGGAATCCATTTTTTAAAAAAGAAGGGGAGGAGGGATGAAATCGGCAGAACGCATCCAGATTGTCTTAAATCAATTTGGAGGCATATGATCATTTTGGCCTTGTCTATTGGACACACCAATTTGATCCGATAATCCAAGTCAAGGTGAAGATTCGACAGAAACGTCTTTGAAACAAATCTGGGCATTGAATCTTTCTACTTGCCTTTGTTCGCTTTTTTTTCCCATCGTTGTCCTGGGAAATTTCTATGAATTTTCAATCCTATAAAAAAGCTGGAAACTCTGGCAAGTAAACTATTCGCTGCTATTCACTTTTTAGACATCAATCAAAATGATTGCTAATGGCATAAACAGGCATATCAGATCCATTTTATTTCCCGAAGAAACAAATACAGGGACCAAGAATAAAAGCTTTAGAAAAAGCTGTGAACAGCTTTTAATAGCTGCATGGACATCAACTATCAACCATAAAAACAGGAATTCCATTTACAAAAGGGGAAAAAATAGTAATAAAAGGAACTCCAAAGACTTGCATAAACTCCCCAGAGTCAAACACACACTTAGCACTTTCCAAGTAGCTTGTAGTAACTTAACACTGCTATGGAAAGTTGTTAGCTACATCTGCAAACATTAAACAAGTTTGAATAGCGAAGAGACCATCTTGTAGCTTTGAACTGACCTTGAAGCTGAGAGATATTCAGCTCTGGACCTCTTGCTATTTCTGTTCCATTTTTCCGTGCTGAGTCAAACTCTACCTTTCTAATTTCTTCAATATTTCCTTCTGCAGTTGAATAATGGGCAGGGAAAGAGGCACAGACCCTAACCTCTCAGACTGCAAAGGAGAGAGTGAGAGATTTGTCCTTTCACCCTTAGAAAATTCTGCTAATTTAGCCCTGAACTAAAGTTGAATTAGCTCATCGGAGAGTAGAGGAGAGGAAGAGAAGAGAAAGGAGAAGAGTGGAAGGGCAGGGAGAGGAAGAGAAGGGAGAGGAGAGGTAGAGAAGAGAGAGAAAGAGGAGTGGAAGAAGAGATTAGAGGAAGAGAAGGGAGAGGAGAGGAAAAAAGGAGAAGAGGGTAGAGGGGAGGAGAAGGGAGAGGAGAAGTTGTAATACAAGTAATAATAAACAACAGGTCACCAGCCAGAATTGAAAAAGGGAAACACATTAAAAAAATAAATGAATAAAAACAAAATAAAATGAAACAATGCAGTTGGACTCATAAGTCCATTATAGAATAGAATATAGAATAGAATTCTTTATTGGCCAAGTGTGGTTGGACACACAAGACTTGGAGCATACACTCTCAGTATAAAGAAAAGAAAAGATACATTCATCAAGAATCATCAGACACAACACTTAATGATAGTCATAGGGTACAATAAGCAATCAAATCATACTAGGAAACAGTCTATAAATCGTAAGGATACAAGCAACAAAGTTACAGTCATACAGTCACAAGTGGGAGGGGACGGGTGATAAGGAGTGATGAGAAGATTAACAGTAATAGTAGTGCAGACTTTGTAATAGTTGGACAGTGTTGAGGGAATTATTTATTTAGCAGAGTGATGGCGTTCGGGGGGAAAACTCCCCTTGTGTCTAGTTGTTGTGGTGTGCAGTGCTCTATAGCGTCATTTTGAGGGAAGGAGTTGAAACAGTTTATGTCCAGGATGTGAGGGGTCTGTAAATATTTTCACAGCCCTCTTTTTGACTTCTGCAGTATACAGGTCCTCAATTGAAGGCAGGTTGGTAGTAATGGTTTTTTTCTGCAGTTCTAATTATCCTCTGAAGTCTGTGTCTGTCCTGTTGGGTTGTAGAACCAAACCAGACAGTTATAAGAGATGCAGATGAATGTTGTTGAACTATGTTTTTGGTGTATTGATGGTCAGATTCACCACATTTATCTTACCCTTATCCTGTTTTCTGGCTATGCTTTTTTTAGAGTTTTATTTTATGCTCTTTATCACATGATGAGATACCCAGAGGTCATTCTGATGCCTACATGGAATAAATTAAATGTATTTATTTCTGTACCCACCCAACTCAACCCAGTGACTCTGGGCTGCTTACACTTCTTAAAAGTGTAAAACATTTTTAAAAATAACCATCAAAACAGTAAAAACCATTTATATCTAAGGTTGGAGCAGGGGGTTGTCTGTTCCCACCAGTATGCCTTTGCCAGAAACCATGGGTAGCATTTATAGACAGTCGAATTACCAGTTTAAAAGGTTAGTCATAGTCTCTTTTGCGATCAACCTCATTAGTTTCCTGGGATTAATAAAATTGAATGGAGATTGCAATCATGAAGGAAAGAAGGAAAGTTGGTTATCGTCCCCTTTGGGAATAATAATAACTTAGTAATCCAACTCATTAAATAGCGAGAACTCTTTAAATAAATAACAAGAGCTGGTGAGGCTATATATTCATGGAGATTATGTTCCCCCCTTCTTGTTTCCAATTTCCGTGTCCTTCCCCTCTGCATGTGGCTCGAACATCTTCAAAATACATGTTATTTTTTTCAACATAGTAGACAGGAAACCACAGGTCTTGGGTACTTCCCTATTTTGCTTGACATCACTGCTGAGAAGTTTGAAGTCCACCCTAAAAAAACCACACACACACACACACTAGCAAAACCACTGCCTTCCCACAGAGCTTGTTATAAACCCTGAATCTATTAGGTAGGGGAGCACCAAGGAAAGGGGATTTGTGTGTGTATGTGTGTTTAAACTTGGTGTGGGTTGGCTGGTCTTCATGGAATATATCTAGGGTTGCAGGCCTTTCTCATTTCTCTTCAGAGGGCAAGATTGGTGGCTCTGAAATGGCTTTACCCGTAAGTCTGGAGAATTCTTCTGGCCACACCCTCCCCTTAGGAGCCAATTCTGGGACACGGCAAAGGCAGATTAGGAAATCGGAAGGGCGACCTCCTTCTCCGCAGCCAGCGTATGACTCAGGGTGGCAAAAGTGTCACAGCTGAGCATGCAGACGGAAGTACGCCAGGACCAACCCGAAGAACTGATGCAAAAGATCAGCCTTTCACATTTAAATATCAGTAGGCTTCACGGGGAGTTGTGAATAGTGGAGCTGGGCTTAAATCTACCACGTAGCTTTCTTTAGTCTTAAGGGTCCTCAGATCACCCAGGAAATGTTTCCTGTAGCTGCTTTCAACCAAGAGAGGTAGATAGATAGGTAGAGATTGAGATAGATTGGATTGGATGGATAGAGATAGATAGAGATAGATTGGATTGAGAGAGAGAGAGAGAGAGAGAGAGAGAGAGAGAGAGAGAGAGAGATTGGATAGATGGATGGATAGACAGACAGACAGACAGACAGACAGACAGACAGACAGATTAGATAAATGGATGGATGGATAGTATAAATAAATATACATGGATGGATGGATAGGTAGGTAGGTAGGTAGAGATAGAGATAGAGGTAGATTGGATGGATAGAGATAGATAGAGATTGGGTGGGTGGGTGGGTGGGTGGGTGGATAGAGAGAGAGAGATTAGGTAGGTAGGTAGGTAGGTAGGTAGGTGATAGACAGACAGAGATAGAGATAGATTGTATGGATGAATGGATGGACAGTATAAATAGATATACACTGATGGATGGATGGATGGATGGATGGATGGATGGATGGATCTTGGATGAGAAGTGAAACATCTTCAAGGAAAAACAAAGGAGTCCAGTTGCCTCTTGAAAAAACACCTTCGGAACATCTTCTGGAATCGTTTATGGAGATTCCTGCCTCTTCTTCTCTTTGGCCAAATCAATACACAAATCAATCACCAGCGTGGATGAAAAGACATTGGACATCCATTTCTCTAAATTTGTATAGGGTCTCCTGCTTGGGCAGGGGGTTGAACTAGAAGACCTCCAAGGTCCCTTCCAACTCTGCTATGCTGTTTATTGTCCCTCCTTATATGCACCAGAGTTTGCTGGGGAAAGCTTTAAAAGATTAGATGCTTGGAATGCTCTTGAAAAGGGGTGTGGGGAAATGCCCCTTTTTTTCCTTTACTAAATTTCATTCTGCAGCAGGTAAGGGCAAAAAAACCATAAAAGGCAGAATGATTTTTTTTTTTTAAAAAAAAAAGGCATATAAACATCATTATTTACACGCTCGGAAGAAGCATTTAACACATTTTTTAAAAAAAAAAAAAATCACCGTGTAATTTAAAAAACGTGTTCCGTGAATACAAATATTCTTTTCTATTGTTAAAGCGTTGCCTTGGTTAAAACTTTCTGTCTTGCAGAACAGCACCAGGAAATGAAATGTAAA